ACCTAACTATTGTGGAATTGTACAGGAAGTAAATGAAGACTGTCCTTTTATGTGCGGTGATTGTGGTAAGTTAAACTTTCTCTCAGCTTTTGTTGAATTGTCCAGGCAGCCAAAAAAGGCTGTATTCTTATGTGTGAAATTGGTCAATGAAAACTGTCCTCTTATGTGCGGGGAGTACATATGATTTAGAATTATGTCTGCTATTGCGAAATTATCCATGCAAGTAATACATTCTGGCCACTCATGTGGGGCTCTAACTGAGTAAATAATACCGAACACACGGCAAGGTAAATGCATTTGTACTACATGTAATGGAATGTATAATATGATCAGTATTCAGTTATTAAATGGTAAACTATTGTTCTTTTGTCGGTTTAGTTCCCCCAGCAGACGACTTTGTATGTGGTAAGTGAAAATCAAAAATAGTTGATCTTGTGCATTTCAAATATGTAGAATTTCTTAGATCGGTACAGCATTAAATTTGACATCAAATATTTGTAATACCAACTCATTACTGAACACTGTTTGTGTGTGTCAATATACGAGTTATCTGTTTTTTGTATATTTGAATTAATCACCTAATATCATTCTAGCTACCACGACATCGCCTCAGAGAGAAACAACTTCTGCAAATGGCGGAAGCAGTCATCAAAGAGTAACGAGTGGTATTGATGAAGAGGACTGTGAAGAAGAGCTGAGTTGTGAAAATGGCGGCAACTTTGTTGCATCTAACTGTAATTGTGACTGTACCAATGACTATCAAGGTGACAGATGTCAACGTAAGTAGGCTGTATTGGTGTGTATATGCATTCAAACTGTTTAAATCAAATATGTGTTCAAGAAACATGCCATAAAGTTGTATATTACGTAGTTGATGTTACACTACATTTATTGAGTCCATAGAAACACCGAGTAACAGGCACCTCAGGTAGCGTAATCACTTTTTATGCACCGGACTATTTTCTTAAGGCGCGAGCCGAGTTTCAAGTGCCTTATATCGACACAACTATGGTGGAGAAAATGAGTTTGCGAGTCTGTTTCAAATGAAACCAGTTGATTTGGTTTGTCTTGAATGTGAAGTATATGAGGGCAAAGGTTTTTAGTGTGTGATGTTCAGAGGGGTAGGTTGCAATGTATTTATTTAATAATATTATGCATTCGATTTTTTACTAGATGAAAAGAGACAAGCACAATATGGCGTTTTATTGAAGATAGCTGGCAGCATCACTAAAGTAAGTATTTATACAACTTTTGATCACGTGTTGTTTAAATACTACTACAAACCCATTGTATTTATATGTATTAGCTACAGATAATGCACATAACTTGCAAGCATCATATGTATATATTTAGTAAACCGACAATGTTAATGAGACATTACACTTTGACTAATCAATGATTAAGACTGTACACATACCCAATGGGTGGTGCCAACTTTCATTACAGTAGATAATGCGTTATTTGTGTTTTCTAGAGAGCCCTCCTTTATAGTGTAAGAGTAAACATTATAATTAGCGGAGACTTGAATGCTAGAACTGCATCTGACCCAGATTAACTGCAATACGATGACACACGCCATGGCGTTGGCCTCGATATAGCATATACTGAATGAAATTTTGATATACCACGTGTTTCTCGTGACACTAAAATTAACAATTTTGGCTTGGCACTATTATCAATGTGTAAAGTGTTATCTCTAGTCACTATAGTCAATGTGTAAAGTGTTATCTCTAGTCACTATTATCAATGTGTAAAGTGTTATCTCTAGTCACTATTATCAATGTGTAAAGTGTTATCTCTAGTCACTATTAATGGCAGAACAGATGTGCCTGTTGGTGATTTTACATGTGTTGCAAACGACGGTAGAAGTGTGGTTGATTATGTCATTGTCTCGCTAGATCTATTTGAAATGGTGAATAATTTGGAAATCCCCGTTCGGGTAGAATCTGACCATTTTACATTGTGTTACACCGTAGAGGTAAATGCAGCACCATTAAAAAGCAAGGAAGCATTTAATAATAAAAAGATAATTATTAATAAGTATATTTGGAGTGACGATATGTTCCAAACTTTCCGTGCAAAAATTTGGTGTAGAGCTGATGACATAAGAAATCTAACCAACCAAGAAATTCGCATTGACAACATTAATAAAATTGTACTGAGTTTTACTGAAATTTTGAATTCGGCCGGGGAGGATATGCTCCACTCTACTACAATAAATCAAATACACAACCAAAAACGCAGCAATAAACCCTGGTTTATGCAAATTGATGCAAATTGATTAGCCTTCGGCGCTTTCGAGAAAGTGGTACAAATCATGATTTGGCATTGTACAGATACAAAACGAGATTATGAGATCTCATCAAATTTAGAAA